CTCTTCCCAAATAAGAATCCATTTAGAACTTTAATCAATAAGTTTCCCAGGTGGTGGTATTTTATGAGATTATTTAGGGTGAAAGGAGTGTTTTAATTCACACTCCTTTGCTGGTAGTTTGTTAGCCAAATGCATTCTATGCGCTTGGCACTAATATGCATGATTGCTTATAATATCCTAATCATAAAATAGCATAAAGAACCTGATTATATAAAAGCCCTAATAGATAGAGAGCTCTTTTAAGGGGTAAAGGAGTCCTATTAGAAAACATAAGAAAATTATCCTATAGGTGGTTATTGGGTTGTGATTTGTTTGCTGTGTTTTGCTTGCTGTATTTTTGCCTTTAATGTGCTAAGGTTGTGTTATAAAAACCATTGTTAATATAGTTAAAGATCTAGAGAAATAAGAACTTAGCCCTAGTGTGGTAACAATGAGATGGTTGTTAATTGTCAGTCAGGAGTGCTAGGCAAAAGCTGCCTCACTGAAGCCGCAGAGTCTGTATGGGGTAAACTTCTTAGATAAACGCAACTGACAACTTTTGCAGAAAGATTAATTTTTGTATTAACAAGAATATAATTCTACTCTGTACTATTTCCCTATGACCCTGTTACCTTTCAGTTAGAGTCACCATAAAAAATGGAAAATAGGCTTACAATCACCTGACTGGCGTGAAATGTTAATAGCCTCAAGGCCAGAAGATCATGTGCTAAAAATTACTATAGAATTAGAAAGCAAAAAAAAAATCCTGCTCTTCCTAAAAAATCAAAATGATGTAATGCTAACCCTGTGTAATCATGAGTAAGCATCTTGTACCTTGAAAACATTCTGTGAAAGGGTATAAAACGGGTTGTCAAAAAGTAAAACACAGATTTGGTCCTATCAAGGCTGGTCTCACGTGTCTTCTCTCTCTCTCGCCGACACCGTTCATCCTGAGGGTACCCCCTGTATCCTGCCGAGGCTGGACCCCGGCAACCTAGCTTTCTGAAGGACAGGAAGTAGAGGAATAGAAGGGAGAAGGAGAAGATACCAAGGCACCATGGGTTTCTCATACAATCATGAGAGGAAATGGAAGTTGCTGATCAAAGAGAAGATGGCAAAAGTTTCACTTTGTTCAACAGACACTGATTTAACAATTATTATGAACTGAGTCCTGGGAGATGCAGTTCTCCCTCCTGTGAGTTCAACCGGGAGAGGTGGGCCTTTCTGGAAAACTTAAAGGCTAAGGCCCAGGAATCCACATGTAATCTCTGAAAATCTTTAGGATGTGGATTCTATGTATTCCTGACTTCTTATCATGCAGATGATGAAACATCCTTTATGGAAATATTAGGTTACTTGCCTAATATAATATCTAAGAGAAGACTAGAACTTCAATCTTCTCACTAAATTATACTATTTTCTAAAATAGCTTAGTAAACAAACCATAAGACTTTGAACTGAATACGCTGTACTATCCTTTAGTCATTTGCCAGAACACATCCAAGTATGTGCATCATACATGTGTGTCTCAGAGCAGATCTTCTGCTGGACCATACTTCAGAGTCCATTGTCCATGAAGCCAACAAGCATTCATAGTTATTTCCTGTGATAGCTCGACAGTAGGACTTCTAGGAGGTTTCAGCTACCTGCCCAGCACTGGCAGGTGGCCTTTTGTATGCCTACCTGAGAATAGATGAATGCTTCCAACCCACCTGGCCCCACTGTTGAGAGGGTGTTGAAAATAGCCCTTTTCTTGAAGGCTCCATGAATAGAAAACTGGAAGGGCATTTCTAAGTCATTTTGCTGGAAAATTCAAGGATAATGAGGCAAGGAAACATTTTAGCTTTGGCCAAGTCTGCAGACATGGATGACTTGGGGAAGTCCTTCCTCATTTTCGAACCAGACAACATAATCCTCAAAACACTGCCTTTCAGGTGTGTGCAAGTCAGGATTTCAGTCCTGAGTGCCAGGAAACACAAAAGGTAAAGAGTAACACTAAACAAGTCTTTATCTTTTATTTACTGCCACCTGATAAGTCCTGCCTTTGATTGTTTTGTCTGCATATTTCCTGCTAAGAGTTTACAAAACAGCACTCCTGAACAGGAAGATAAGAGGGGCACCTATTTGTTGAATAACATCAAGGGGGGAAACTGCTAACTCATCCATTTTGTTGTTAAGTTGCTCAAAAGGATCAAAATACCAATTAACTTGCTGCCTCACAAATCTTTGATACCCTCAGATTTACTGACATTTTGAAACTCCTGTTCATACTTGCCTACCGGCTTTCTGATTACGAACAAAGAAGTGCCAATCTGTTTAGCATTTGACCTGTTTTCTTAAATATTTTTCATGTATTCAACTCTTGGTAGCTAAAAATACTTCACTAGTCACATTCATGAGCTAAAATCATCTTTTGTTTATTTGTTCCACCTCCAAATTTAAGATGGAAAAAGAGGCTCAAAGACACTTCCTTTTAAAAAGCCATTTCATTCTTATTTTTAATTTAACAGTCTCATTGCCAAAAGCTCTTTTTGCCCTTTCATCTGCATGGAATTTAGTGGCATTGGGAAGATCCAATGAAGTGACCTGACGTATTAGGATCCATTCTTCCCTGAGGAAAAGTTGGAAAAATGACCTTGGGCCGAAGTTTCAGCATGGTGGTAAAAAGAAACTAAAGATGGTTGGTGGGATGCAGCAGATTTTATAATGAATCTTAATCTTCCTCCCTGGATATTCTCAGATAGTAGTGCTTCTCAGAGATTCTCTGTTGTTGTTCTTATTTCTTCACAGAAATTTTGCGAAAATTCTACCTATAATCACGTGCATGTGTAAGACACACCGATGGCAGCTGTTCAGAAAAGAGCAACATTTCACTCTTAGGCAAAGGCAGGTTCTGGGTTTAGAAAGCTCTACAGCAATTTCTGCAAAAAACTTTTATTGAATGGAGTAGACTGACGCAATTAAAACTGAGGCTGTTGTAGCCAGACTCCTTGGGTTCATATTTTGGTCCTATCATTTATTAGCATTGGACTTTGGTAAAGTCACTTACTTTCCTTCTATGATTCAATTTCCCCATCTGTAAAATGGGGATAATAATAAAGCCTAGCTTATAGGGCTGCTGTATGGATCAGAGATTACACATTTGGGACATTTTCAGTGCTATATAGATGTTAGCTAGCATATTAAATCGTGCCAGATCCTGAGAGAGGCATCAGTGTTGTGTATACTTACATTTGCCAGAATCCTGAGCCATTCATGGAAGAATACTTCCATTACAGCAAAAAATATCTGGAGATTTGGAAACCTAAGGTTTATATATCTATATGTTTATACATAACACATATTATATATGTGTTTATCTGTAACACAGAATTACCTACAGACATTTGTATTTTTCAGATGTGATCAGAAGGGGGGCTTCCTTGGTGGCTCAGACAGTAAAGAATCTGCCTAGAATGCAGCTGACCCAGATTCAATCCCTGGGTCAGGAAGATCCTGTGGAGGAGGGCACGGCACCCAACTCAAGTATTCTTGCCTGGAAAATCCAATGGACAGAGGGGCCTGGCAGGCTACAGTCCATGGGGTCACAAAGAGCCAGGCAGACCACTTTACCTGCCTCCTGAGAAATCTGTATGCAGGTCAAGAAGCAACAGTTAGAATCGGACATGGAAAAACAGACTGGTTCCAAATCGGGAAAGGAGTACGTCAAAGCTGTGTATTGTCACCCTGCTTATTTAATTTCTATGCAAAGTACATCATGTGAAATGCTGGGCTGGATGAAACACAAGGTGGAATCAGGATTGCTGGGAGAAGTATCAATAACCTCAGCTATGCAGATGACACCACCCTTATGGCAGAAAGTGAAGAGGAACTGAAGAGCCTTTTGATGAAAGTGAAAGAGGAGAGGGAAAGAACTGGCTTAAAACTCAACATTCAGACAGCTAAGATCATGACATCCGGTCCCTTCACTTCATGGCAAATAGATGGGAAAACAATGAAACAATGACAGACTTTAAATCAAAATTGTGGGCTCCAAAATCACTGCAGATGGTGACTGCAGCCATGAAATTAAAAGATGCCTGCTCCTTGGAAGAAAAGCTATGACAAACCTAGACAGCATATTAAAAACAGAGACATAACTTTGCCCACAAAGGTCCGTCTAGTCAAAGCTATGGTTTTTCCAGTAGTCATGTATGGATGTGAGAGTTGAACCATAAAGAAACCTGAGCACCAAAGAATTGATGCTTTTGAACTGTGGTGTTGGAGAAGACTCTTGAGAGTCCCTTGGGCTGCAAGGAGATCCAACCAGTCCATCCTAAAGGAGATCAGTCCTGGGTGTTCATTGGAAGGACTGATGCTGAAGCTGAAACTCCAACATTTTGGCTACCTGATGCAAAGAACTGACTCATTTGAAAAGACCCTGATGCTGGGAAAGATTGAGGGTGGGAGAAGAAGGGGATAACAGAGGATGAGATGGTTGGAGGGCATCACTGACTTGATGGACATGAGTTTGAGCAAGTTCTAGGAGTTGGTGTTGGACAGGGAAGCCTGGCATGCTGCAGTCCATGGGGTGGCAAAGAGTTGGACACAACTGAGTGACTGAACTGAACTGATCAGAAGGGAGCTTAACTTGTCTTCCAGATGACTGTAATTCAGTTGGAGTACAACAGAATCAACATTTAAGCAAGTAAATGGCAGCTGGAAGGTCTTCCCTGGTGGCTCAGTGGTAAGGAATCCACCTGCCAATGAAGGAGACGATGGCTCCATCTCTGGGTTGGGAAAATCTCTTGGAATAGGAAATGTCAACCCACTCTAGTATTCTTGCATGGGAAATCCCATGGAAAGAGGAGCCTGGCAGAGTCTATGGGGTTGCAAAAGAGTCGAACACGACTTAACAACTAAACAACAAACTAGCCAATCACGTGTTTGGAGGCAAGAGGGCTGGGGAAGATCCTAGGGGACAGAATGGCTTTGGCAGAGTTGTGTTTAATATAATGTATTTCCCAAAATACCAGCCTGACCTTTTCACAAACTCCTCGAAGAGGATGCGGTGAGAATACCCCTGCTGGCGGATGCTGACTGTCTCTAGGATGCCCGTGGAGCGGAGCTGGGCCCGCACTTTGTCTGTGGAGAACTTCAGGGCCTCTCGGTCATCATTGGGCTTGATGCAGCGTACAAAGTGCGGCTGTCCCACCACCATTTTAGAGAGCAGATCCATCAGAGAATACTACCAGGGGAAAAAATGCACAAGAAGTGAGGTTACCAAAATCATAATGAGGATAATTACAACAGTGGCTGGCCCAGGCTTCCAGGGCAGTTTGTCAGCTTGTAAACAACTCATGGAATCTTTAAGGCTAAACAAGAATCCAGCAAAAAGAAATAACAATACAAGTTCTGACTTATATTGTTCTGTACTTATAGCTGCCTATGGATTTTCTTTAAACATCACCTAGGGCCAAGCAATATCCCACTTGGCAGAAACTCCGCCATCTAAGAACTTGCTTAGATTATCTCATAACTCTGTTGCCAGAACTAGCTTGTCTCTGATATTTCAAGGTGATGCTCCATAAACTGTATCTGTAATTTTAAAGGTCCAGCTTTCAGGGAAGGGGTCAGTTGCCTCCTTAACCTAACAATCACCAGAAAGCCTAAACCAACCTTACAAAGGCAGAGGCGAAATGAGAAAAATAAAGAGGGCAAAGAAAACAAGAAAACTGGACGGTAAAAGGAGATTATAATGAAGATGAATTAATACACCAAACAGCTGTGTAGAGAACAGAAAGAGCACATGGAAAACTAGGGGTGCTCTCCATTTCTCAGGGACATCCACAGTAGCAGTTTTTCTTTTGGACATGTCTTTGGGGCAATTACAAGCCACACATAAAATCAGTCCCATTATTTCATAATCTTACCTGCTACTGATCCAAAATGGTGTTACCTAGCTTGGCAATGTGCTATTTTTTTAGCATTTGGGGACTAGTATATTGAGGACACCCAACTGTTTGTTATGGAGATACTTCTGAAAATTGCATGCCATTGGCTTCTTCTGCTGAAAGAGGGATTCTAAGATCTTGAGGATAACCTTACAGTCAGAGCCTTCAAATCCCATACACGCAGAAACTAGGAGAGTATAGTCAAGCCACTAAGGGGATCAGAATAAGAAATAAATGGCAATTAGAAATGTCCAACCATGAGTGATGAAACAGGGGCTGAAAACCTACCTGTTGGAGAAGCTGTAGCAGGCATCACTACATCAATGGAATGCTGGACCCAAAGACCTCTCCAGTTCAGTTCAGTCACTCAGTTGTGTCCGACTCTTTGTGAACCCATGAACCGCAGCATGCCAGGCCTCCCTGTTCATCACCAACTCCCGGAGTCCACCCAAACCCACTGAGTCGGTGATGCCATCCAACCATCTCATCCTCTGTCATCTCATTCTCCTCCTGCCCTCAGTCTTTCCCAGCATCAGGGTCTTTTAAAATGAGTCAGCTCTTCGCATCAGGTATCCAAAGTATTGGAGTTTCAGCTTCAAAATCAGTCCTACCAATGAATACCCAGGAAAACACCAAAGACCTCTTGGTCCCTATAATCCATACACTGAGACTCATTCTAGTCTACCTCTAAGGCACAGGTCAGACTTCTTGGCTCTAGGTCCTTCTTGGACCCGCTAGCTTTGGGTGGAACCTTCTTTCCATGGTGCTGGCTCCCAGGCCTACCCTCCAGCCTGCCTGGCAACTCCACCTCATGATCCACTTGACTTACTATCCCTGCCAAATCCCTTACTTTGGCAACCCCACCTTACAACCTTATTTTGTCGTTCCTGGTTTCAGTAGTTCTGTCTTTGGCCTAACAGCATCTCCATCGTGAAGTTGCCTGGACCTCAGTTTCCCATGGTCAGTGATCTCTAATGGGTTCTCAACCCCAGTGCTTCATAATTTGAAAAGAAACAAATCTGTGCAAATCAGTGCAAAGTGACAGTCTCTTATCTTTCCTCTCTAATGTGCATGTGACAGAGTCCTTATGGAGACAACATTTTTACTCAAAAGAGTCATTCACCAGGTAAAAATATCAGGAATTGGGGTAACAGAGATGGGAAATAATGGGGCTCAGGTAAATGGCTCTTGCAATGGGTCAATTTAGTCTAGGAAAATAAAGTTGAAGCTAAGACTTATTTTCTCATGAACTTGATAAGCCTCCTTCTAGACTTTTATTAGCTACTTTACTTCTCAGTAAATATGCTGGAAAAGTGGCTGACTCCAGTAGCTCTAAGGCCAAGAAGCAGCTGAAACGCTAACAGAATCAGCACATTCAATGGACTATGTGCCAGTGGCAGAAAGGGCCCTCTGTAGACACTTGCGGTCTCACACTGTACTCAAGGGTGGGTTCCCTGTTATAATTCTCCTTTCCCTTTCCCTACAACTCCATCTTTCCTGACTGACTCTGAGCTTTGCTCTTGTTTCAATAACTCTGTGGTATCTAGGCCTCTTGTGAGAATGGCTGACTCAACTTTTCTGGAAACAGGCAGAGGAGAGATCAAGAAGACTCCTTACCCGGAAGTAAGAAGCCATAGTTTGCCCCTTCATGTTGGTGGTTTCTTCCGGATGCCGTATCACCTCCAGAGTGTCCACCTGGAGCATAGGCAGAGGACAGTGGTTTGGGTATAGAGACAGCTTATTTTCTGACATTTCCCAAAATGTGAAAAGCTATTTGGTCAAATACCTGAGGGGCCTTGATGTTTAGGATGTAATAGTACATACTATAGTACATATTCATTTAAAGACATCTTAAAGAAAAACAGAATTTACATTGTCCTACTTATTTGACAACAACCACACTCTGTGATACACTATATGGTCTCAGTACAAACCCCAACCATGTTCTTTCTGTATTTCTCCATGTTCTACTGGGCCCTTATTAAGTTCTCCAATAATGTCATGTGAGACCATGCTATTTTTAAAAAGAAAACTGGGTAACAACACATGAAGCCGGGCAATTACAAAGTGAAGTGAAAGTCGTTCAGTTGTGTCCGACTCTTTGCAACCCCCATGGATGATACAGTCCATGGAATTCTCTAGGCCAGAATACTGGAGTGGGTAGCCTTTCCCTTCTTCAGGGGATCTTCCCAACCTGGAGAATTTTGGCCTGGAAAATTCCATAGACTGTATCATCCACGGGGTCGCAAAGAGTCAGACACGACTGAGCAGCTTTCACTTTCACTGTAATTACAAAAACACGGACCCAAAGCCCAGGTTGCACCACAAGAGAATTAGTTAAATCCTAACTGCCTTCCTGCTATCAGACCCTGACCCTGCAACATCCCTCCCGCGGCCCACAGCTCCTACATGTTCACTATGGACCAAAGCTTAAAGTACACCTGTTCCCAAGCATCTGCCCCAAATACCTGGGCTGACTGGGAAGAATTTATGAATGAAAACCACTGTAGCAAACAATTGCAGGCACCCTGTTTTCCATCATTTTATCTAAATGATAAAATTCCTGCTTCTGCACACACAAAGCTATTTGGTTTGCAGAGCATATGAGCAGCATTTCAGCACCAGCCTCCATGGTAGCCTCCCATCTGCTCAGAACAGGTGGCAAGGGTATGAAGCAGGAACATTTGAACTGGAAGATGCTGCTGTCAGCACGTGTGTTCCGCTCAGTGGAGTGCTGTCCAGGCAGCTACCTCCCCGCGGGGTGAGGATGTCTGCAGCCTTGTTCAACAACAGTGAGAAGAGGTTACTTAGAAGGGACGCGGCCATGGGAGGTGGCTGAATAATGAGACTTACTCGAGGGGCATTTAGGAGACCGTTTGCAAAACTGAAGAAAACACTTCAACTGGCTTATATAAAGAAAACAGGTCAGTTTAAGAAGGGGAACAAACATGGAACTAAGTTTTCAAACTAGAAAGCAACCTAAATTGTGAGCAGAAATCTGAGGGTATCTCTGAGCAAAGTGCCAGGAGCAGGGGCAGTGCAGCTTTCTTTCTCTAGGCTGCAGACTGGATCTGTTCCCAGAGTCACCGTTTCATCTAGATGCAGCTGAGCAACAGTACAACTGCCTGTAGCTGTTTTTTTTTTTTTTTTTTTTTTTTATGAGAAAGAAGGAAATGGCAGCTCTGTGTTTAAAGGGAAGGTTGCTCTCACATAGAAAAGAAAAAACACAACATACCCGCCCCACCTGCATAGGTCCGATGGCGCTACCTGCAGGGACCACACGGAAGGTTCCTTCCCTATCTCAACCTCACTAGGAGTACACAGCTCAACACTGGTGAGATTTGGGGAAAGCTAATTAGGACTGAAGCAAGAAAGATCTTGGCTACGGTCTGCCTTTGGCCAAACTGTAAATTCTGACAGTTTTCCTAAACATTCTTTGTCCTTATTTTCTTTCTCCCCACCTGACTTTCATATACACACACAACTTTTGAGAATTTTCCACTATTTCTTTTTATTCAGAGATCCTCCCTGAAGAACCACAGCTTGCTTTGAACTCTGCTTTTCCTCCTTAATTTCCCTCCCTTTTTATTCAAATTAGCCGGCTAGTGCCAGCCCCCTCAGGCTCTAATACACTGTGAAAGGGCAGCTGGGAAACTCATCCGTATTTCTTTTATTAGTAGAATTTACCTGTTACCCTTCTTCAGAACAAACAGCAGACCCTTGGCATTTGAGAATTTAACAGTTTAGTGATCAGGAAAATCTTTGATGTATATTAATTCTGCTAAGATATAAATTTAAAAGTGTGATATATATTGTTTTCAAGATCAGTACCCATCCCCTGTAGCAAGTTGGAAAAGTACTGAATGAAGCACCAGTTTGCAATCCAAGATACAGGGCTGGAAGTATTATTAACTTCCCAAAGCCTGTGTTATTTAAAAACCACTACTGTGCATACACACACACACATGAAGTCAGTCAGTTCCCCTTCCTTTATCACCATGTTTGATTCAGTTTTAGTAATCACCCAGCACGACTTTAAGTCCTGCTCTTAACTCACATACAGGGTAATTCTTGGGTAGTAAAAACCTATTCTGTTATATATAACTTAGAAATATTAATGCATGTATATAGTTCACCACCTACATATCTAGTACTATATTTTAAAGAATAAATAATGTACTATTGGGGTATCTTCTAATTTTAGAATTTGGAAAGGTCTTGGGTTGGCCAAGGGTCTCTTGGATTGGCAAAGGATATCTGCATAGTTATGAAGTTCCCCTGTACATGGAGTGGATCTAAAAGAGGGAATTGCACTTCAGACAAGGGACATACCAGAAGTTGCCTCTCTTGAACTTTTAAAGCAGGAGGCCTTTGTCTGCATTGGGCCTACCATGAACTCTGTGCTGTGCTAAGTTGCTTCAGTTGTGTCCAACTCTTTGTGACCCTATGGACTGTAGCCTGCCAGGCTCCTCTGTCCATGGGATTTTCCAGGCAAGAATACCGGAGTGGGTTCCATGCCTTCCCTCCAGGGGATCTTCCCAAGGGATAGAACCTGCATCTCCAGTGGCTCCTGCATTGTAGGCAGATTCTTTACCACTGAGTCACCAGGGAAGCCCACCATGAACTCTACAGAACCGAAAAAAATTCAAAGCCAAAAGAGATAAGAAGGTTATTGTCTAAATTAAGAGCTTGTCTTTCTGAACTGATTTCGCTAATAGTTAAAGTTAAGTGTTAGTCGCTCAGTCATGTCAACTCTTTCAGACCCCATGGACTATAGCCCACCAGGCTCCTCTGATCCATAGGATTCTCCAGGCAAGAATACTGGAATGGGTTGCCATTCCCTTCTCCAGGGGATCTTACCCACCCAGGGATTGAACCTAAGTATCCTGCATTGCAGGCTGATTCTTTACCATCTGAGCTACCCAGGAAGCCCCCAGTTAATGGTTTTAATTAAAAAAATAAAGTTTCTTAGAAATGATCCAGAAAGTAGATTCTATTGAAGCCATCAACTAGCGAATTATTTTTTCCAAAGGCGGGGATTTCGCAACAACAACAACAACAAAGTCTTTTCTGTAGATTCTTATAAATTTTTACCTCAGATAGGAGGAAAACAGGTTGGGAGAGCTTCCAAGGTTCAAGGGGTTTGTGCTAAAGGGCCCAGGGCTTGGAATTGGACACACTTGGTTCAAATTCTGGCTCCTGTGCTTAATAGCTATGTGGACTTTGACTTATTATTTAACTTTCCAAAGTCTGTGTGCTTAAAAACCACTGTCTTGCACATGTGCACACACAGAAAAGGTCAGTCAGTTCCCCTTCATTTATTACCATGTTTGATTCAGTTTTAGTTTAGTAATTCATGGGTTGCAAGAAGTCAGACATGACTTAGCAACTGAACAACAATAATCAATATTAAGGATGCTGGGTTTTTATTTCATGGAATAAGGAGAGTAACTAGCTCCCATGCAACACAGCAAGGAAATCTTTTTATTTATTGGCAGAGAAAATACTTCCAATGAAACCAATTTCAAAATGATCAGTATAACCAATATTCTGGATAAAAACATCATCTGTCTAACCCAGTATACCCTTCTTCTACACCACCAGTTGATATAACCATATAAGCCAACTGGAGCTGATCAAGCTTGCTTTGTCAGGAAAGCCCACATGACAAATGTCCTGCCCGATTCCTTGTGAGTGGTACTGGTTAGCCTTCAAAGTAGTCATGAATAAGCTTTACAGTTTGTGGTACAGACTCCAGGCCCATAGGAAATGAGCAAGCTTCCGTATACATATGGACTACACACATGGAATTTTAGATGGCTATCAAGACATGAGTAATAAAACATTTATTGTTTCCAATGGGAAATCACTATACTAAACACTTTGCCTACATTATGTCAATGAGTTCTCAAAAGGACACTATGAGGTAAATATCATTATTACTACTATTCTACATATAAGGAAGTTAAGGTTCAAAGATTTTAGGTAAATTTCCCAGAGACTTGCAGCCAATAACTGGCCATGCCTAAGTCTGAACCCAGTTCTGATTCCAAAACCTACTCCTTAAACATAATATACTGCCTTTATATGTGATTTGTTATAAGTTATAAAAATAAGTCTGAAAGCACAGTATTATTAAAAAGATTTGCCTCATCTGTCAACTAAATTTACTCTAGGATAAAGACATAGCTTCCAAAAAGCCTCGAAAATACATGTAACTCCATGGCTGATTCATGTCAATGTATGACAAAATCCACTACAATATTGTAAAGTAATTAGCCTCCAACTAATAAAAATAAATGGAAAAACAAACAAACAAAAAAAACCAAAAAGCCTCAAAAACCATCTACATCTCAGTAATAAATTAAAAGCTGGAGGAATTTTTTTCTTTGGTCTCAGTAAGTACCTACTATTTGCATCTCCAAACCTCAGAAGTGTTTACATTTAGCCTCTTGGCAAAGCCTTTGGTCAAGAATTTTTCCTGCTATCAAGTGATGCATCCATCTCTTAAGGAAAAAGCCCCTACAGCATCACTCCCCTCGAAAGTCTCCATGGCACTGAATGAGGAAGCAAGGCTGGTGCTGACACCAGCCCAGTGTGGGGGTGCTGAACGTGGTGGAGGCTAGCTTCCTGCAGGGTCACCTCTTCTATTTTTTCTTGGATAAGGTAGAGAGGAATCGGTGGAGCTTTTTATTGCTGTTGCTACCCTTCATATTTTCTGATGCCTTAATTAGAACTTTCAACTCATCTTCTCTCCAAGGGAAAACAAATCTCTAGTCATTTTCATCTCACCTATATATATTGTAGTGATGTAAATACACGCCACGCACTAGAGGGCACACTTCTCACATAGGCAGTGCAGGGAAGGAGATAATGCGTGGATAGGGAGCGTGGAAGGCAGAGGAATAGGTCCTGGCAGAATCCAGAGGTCAAAACGTCAAACTGAGCAAAGGAGGGGAATATGGGCTGACATTGAATAGTACACAGGAGACTTTCATATTTTTTTTGTCATGATCCTTTTTAGAAGGAGTCTCAGGCAATCAGTTCAGCTGCTCAGTCATGTCTGACTGTTTGCAACCCCATGGACTGCAGCACACCAGGCCTCCCTGTCCATCACCAACTCCCAGAGTTTATTCAAACTCATGTCCATTGAGTCGGTGATGCCATCCAACCATCTCATCCTCTGTCATCCCCTTCTCCTCTCGCCTTCCATCTTTCCCAGCATCAGGGTCTTTTACAATGAGTCAGCTCTTCACATCAGGTGGCCAAAGTATTGGAGAAGGAGTCTGGTGGAAGCCAATGACTCAAAAATAACCACATATGGTTGATCCTCATTATTTGTGGATCTGTATTGGTGAATTTGCCTACTTGCTGAAATATATTTTTAATCTTCAAATCAATCAATGCTCACATGCTTTCATAGTCACTTACAGACATGCAGAGTGGTGGAAACTTATACCTGGATGTGCATGCTCCCAGCTGAGGCTGAACAAAGTGACACTTTCTCTGCCTTCCTGTTCCAGCTCTCACACCATAAACAAGCGCCCTTTTCAAGGTGTATTTCAGTGCCAGAATTTTTCCTTTTTTTGTGCTTTTGACTGGTGATTATCCTGTTCAAAATAGTACCTAATCACAGTACTGAAGTCCTATCAAGAGTTCCTAAGAGTAAGAAGGCTATGATGTGCCTGTTGGAACATATTTGTGTGTTAGTTTACCTTCACTCAGGCATGAGTCACAGTGCTGCTGGCCTTGAGTTCAATGACACAAATACTATATTTGAAATGTTTATACAAAGAAATATGGCATACAGTTAATCACTTGTAAAAAGCATCTACAGTGGACCCTTCAGCCACAGAGATTTGAACTATATGGATTCATTTAAATGCAGATTTTTTTCAATAGTAAGTACAGCACTACTACACAATCCATGGTTTATTGAATCTGCATCTGTAGGACTGTGGATACAGAGAGCCCACTGTAAAGTTATTAGTGGATTTTTGACTGTGTGGAGGGTTGGTGTCCCTAACCTCCATGTTCTTCAAGGGTCAACTGTATTAAATATAATGCTGTTAAAGAGAAACACACACAATACAGGTTATATATTAATCAGTTGACAACAGTGTTGTGACCAGAGGCTTGCAGGAGCCTAACCATGTATTTCTTCTAGGAGCAATGCTTCAAGATTTGCTGATTCAGCATTCACAGAAGCCTCATAGAACACCACTTTTGTGAATAATGAGAATCAAGTGCATTGAACACAAACAACATTTACATATAATATCAAGAGACTCTCAGAACCACTGAAACTCCTCTGTAAACCTGACCTAGGGTCCCACACAACTCATGTTAAATAGCCCTAGTTTCCTGCCACAAATGCACATGATTGAAAAACAGAATATTCTATAGGATTGTGCTAACAGTGTGGATGTAAGAATTACTGTTAATAAAGATGATCTGAATCCTTACTATGTGCAGGTCTTTTATTCTCAAAGGAAGTGCGTATAGATATGTATGTCTATATCAATTTGGGGGTAATATTCATGTATTATATGTGGTTGTATTGATTATTCTTTATTAAATGAATCATTTAATATTCAGTATAAACAAAGGGTAAGAAAATTCAAAGACATGACCTGTTTTATTATCCCCTTACCTTTCAGATCATTATTTCTTGCTGCTAGTATACACAATGAATATTAAGCAGCCATTCCTTGAAACTTGGGCTAAACACTAGCAGGAAGAATGGACTAGTTAAGAATATTTTACAGCAGGATATTTAGTAACTTGCCTAACACCCTCTTTGCATGGATAAGTGCATCACTCACTTTTCAGAGAGCAAGGCAGAGTAACAGGAGGGGGTTTCATTTCCTTCTTCCCTGCTGACCCCTTTTGTCATCCCACTCTGTACATTGGAGACAGCTTCAAGAAAAAGTGGAGTGTGTGCACTTCTTCCTGTGGATGTGGATGTGCATGTGTGCTAAGTTGCTTTAGTTGTGTTCGACTCTGCAATGCCATGAATCGAAGCCCACCAGGCTCCTCTGTCCATGGGGTTCTCCAGGCAAGAATACTGGAGTGGGTTGCCATGTCCTCCTCCAGGGGATCTTCCTAACCCAGGGATTGAACCTGCTTTTCTTACATCTCCTGCACTGAGAGGTGGGTTCTTTTCCACTAGCATCACCTGGGAAGCCCTTATATCTTCCCAGAGGGACTTTATTTTCAAATGTTATTTTTTTATAAACTTAAGTAGTATTTCTGAGAATCAGGTAAAGGGGTCTGCATATGCCATGTGGCATAAGGATTATTTTGAACTGAAGACATGTAAGTAACAACAGTTGTAAGAAGAAGCTTTTCTGAACTCTCCTTATCTGCCTAAAAGCAAAGCATTCAAAAATAATTCAATTGTCATAAATCCCCTCCCTGGGAGCTTTGCAATCAGAGAAGACTGACTCATATCACCAGAGATGAAAAGTCAGCACTGGGATAAGAAATTGCCTAAATAGATAGTGTCATATAAAACTGTTATACTTCCCATTTATTTTCCTAAAGGACCATTTATTTTTCCTAAAAGTCACTGATTGTCCCAGAAGTGTCCTTCTTCCTCTCTTCATCTCCTATTAAGGTGGTATAGAAACTCCAAAATCTAACTGGCCCTTAGAGTCACTTTTTTGGTGAACCTCTGTATGTATATGATTAAAATATGTTTTTTTTCTCTTGCTAATCTGTCAGTTCAAGTTTAATTTGGTCTTCAAACACTGAACTTAAGAGGGTAGAGGAAAAAAATTTTCCCCCTGACACAGGATTGTAAAGGAATCCATGATGATGTTTCAAACCTCTTAACCCCAAATTCCTAAATGCCTCAGTCTCTATTCTAGACTTCCCAGGTAGTGGGTCAGATAAAGGAAATGAATACTGCTCACCTAGGATGATCTCTAGGGTGGGAATGCTTGTGGTCCACAGTATTTTGGGTACAAACCTGCTACTCACCTTGAGTCTCCCAGAACTGAAATGCGGAGGCAAAGATCTTGAGGCTGCTGTTATCCTGGCTCTTGTCTGGGCCAAGTTACCTGTGCAAAGAAGACAAAAAATTAAGGCAAAGGAGTTAAAAGAATAGTATGATAAGTAATTTTTCCCTTTGTGTCCCTATATTTTTCAGAATGTTCTAAATGATCTGCCCTGAACTTGAAACATTTGGAAAAGTTTTGAAATTCAATGATGTAAATTACAATTAAAATATAATATTTATAAGCTATAATTTGTCATATAAATTAAATTTATATTAGTTTAATAAGAAAATAAGAAAGCCCAAAGTCTCACATTCACTTAACAAACTAGTGCTCAGTCACTGAGTCGTGTCTGACTCTTTGCGACCCATGGACTGTAGACTGCCTGGTTCCTCTGTCCATGGGATTCTCCAGGCAAGAATATTGGCATGGGTTGCCATGTCCTCCTCCAGGGGATCTTCCCAACCCAGGGATCAAACTAGAGATTGAAAGAAATTACTATAATATAAGAGAACCATAAATGAAAATCCCATAACTCATGTACTCAACAGTGAAAAATTGGAAGTTTTTCCTCTAAGGTTAGGAACAAGACAAGAATGTCTGCTCTCACCACTTCTATTGAACATAATACTGGCAGCCCTAGCTAGGTCAGTTAGGAAAGAATTAGAAATTAAAGGCAGCCAAATTGTAAAATAAGAAGTAAAATTATCTCCATTCACAGATGACATCATCTTACATATAGAAAACCCTAAAGATCATACACATGCACTAGCAAATGAATTCAAAGTTGTAGGATATAAAATCAACATATAAAAAGACATTGTTATATACACTAACAATGAAAATCTGAAAAGGGAGTTAAGAAAATAATTCCATTTACAATGGCATCAAAAAGAATAAAATACTTAGGAGTAAACTTAACCAAGGAGGTGAAAATTTATACACAGAAAACTATACAACACTCCTGAAAGAAACAACAAAGGCACAAATAAATGGAAATCTATTCCATTGTGAGGGAGAAAAAAATATTCTTTTTCCTCTACCTGTTAGAGGAAGCACACTGACTGATAACGCCCACCCTGGCCAGGCACCATAGTAACTATTTACATGAGTTGTTTTATGACAGGAGGTTCTGGTAAGGAACATGGAACTAATAAGCCTCCACTAAGCAGAAGAGTTCGGGAAAGGTCAAAAGGAGACACCACCTGTCTGTCCACCTCCCAGAATCCTCCTCTCTGGCATCCATCTTGGCTGAACAAGGCGTGCACCACCAGGTAGACTCTGAGCCAGAATGGTTGGCTGAGGACAACCCGGAAACGAAGCCCATCACCATAAAACCCGAGACTGCGAGCCATGTGGCAGAGCTGTTCTCCTGGGTTCCCTTACCTCCTGCTCTCCATCCGGGTGCCCTTTCCCAATAAAATCTCTTGCTTTGTCAGCACATGTGTCTCCTCAGACAAGTCATTTCCGAGTGTTAGACAAGAGCCCAGTTTCAGGCCCTGGAAGGGGTCCCCTTTCCTACAACATACCCACCTTAGGTTCATCAGCTGGGGCCCTGCAAATTAGACTGACAGAAGGTAGAGTAGCAAGAGAAAAGCAATCAGAAGTTTACTAATGCATGCATTGCACATATATACAGAATTATTCATGATGAGCAATTCAAAGGGGTGGCAGAACTTGGACTTATATAGATCTTAACAAAAGAACAATAAATTTATAAAGAAGTGAAAGAGAAAGAAAAAGAACTTTGTGTTTCCAGGGGTGGGAAATTATGGTAAGGGTAAATACATAGGGAAGGGCTTCCCTGGTGGCTCCGTGGTTAAGAACCCACCTGCCAATGCAGGAGACGTGAGTTCCATCTCTGGATCAAGAAGATACTCTGGAGAAGGAAATGGCAACCCACTCCAGTATTCTTGCCTGGAAAATCCCATGGATTTCCCATGGACTGTGGTGGGCTACAGTTCATGAAGTTGCAAAAGAGCTGGACACAATTTAGCCATTAAACAACAACAAATATATAGGGAAGCTATTATAAGATAAGGGCAAATTTATTATATAGATTTCTCTAGTGCTGTCTCTGAGTTGATAGGGTCTAGAGTTGTCTCTGGTGATTAACTTCTGTCTTTTTTTGTAAAGAGAAGAGAGGGCACATTTTTACAAATTTATGCCCTGCTTTTGGACAAATGCACAGAAGGCAGAGAACTTTTCTTATATCTGCTCCTTTTCAATTGCTTTCAGCTTAAAATAATCTTTATGCCAAACTGGCATATTTTGGGGTGGCATATTCTGTTACCCTGCATTGTGTTCATGGATTACAAGGCTTAATATTGTTAAAATGTCCACACTACCCAAAGAGATCTACAAATTCAGTGCAATCCCCATCAAAATCTCAATGACATTTTTGGACAAATAGAATAAATCCTAAAATTCATATGGAACCCCAAAGGACTCCAAAACAATCTTCAGAAGGAAAAGAAAAAACTGAAGGCCTTATATGTCCTGATTTCAAAATACATTACAAAGCTATAGTAGTCGAAATAATCTGGCAAAACAATACTGACATGAAGATAAACATACAGACCAATGGAACAGAACAGATAGCCCAGAAATAGACCCATGCACATATAGTCAAATAATCTTTGATATGGGTGTTAACACTACACAATGGGGAAAGGATTATCTCTTCAACAAATGGTGCTGTGAATACTGGGCATTTACATGCAAAAGAATGAAACTGAAACCCTATCTTATACCATATTCGAAGATCAACTCATAATAAAGACTTAAAAGTAAAACCAGAAACTATATAAGCATAAGGGGAAAGCGTCATAACACTGGTCTTGACAATTATTTCTCAGGTAGGACACCAAAAGCACAGGCAACAAAAGCAAAAATAGACAATTGGGACTGTATATCAACAGGGGGAGAAAACCATCTATCTCGTAAGAGGTTAATTTCCAAAATATATAAAGAACTGCTACAACTCAACTCTTTGCGACCCCATGGATTATACAGTCCATGGAATTCTCTAGGCCAGAATACTGGAGTGGGTAGCCTTTCCCTTCTCCAGGGGATCTTCCCAACCCAGGGATCGAAACCAGGTGTCCCACATTGCAGGTGGATTCTTTGCCAGCTGAGCCACAAGGGAAGCCCTACAACTCAGCAGCAAAAAATAAAATAAGCTGATTTTAAAATGGGCAAAGAATTTGAATATACATGCCTGCAAAGATGACATATAAATGGCCTGAAGGTATATGAAAAGATTCTTAGCATCACTAACAGGGTAATGTAAATCAAAGCCACAACGAGATATCACCTCATACTTGTTAGACTGGCAATTATAAATGAAGAGGAATAAAATATCTCCCTTTGGCATACTGATTATTTTAAGTTGGTTATTTTTGAGAAAAGTAGATACACATGAGGCTCTGAAAACTGAGCCGAAATTACCCTTTTGTAAGAAAACTTTACAAGAGGAATGAATCTCCAAATGTAAAGGTGTCTCCCTCTCTCTACTAGAAAGAGAAGAATGACTAGCTAATTTTAGGGCTGTTATGGGCACTGGATGAAATAATTCATGAAAAGCATTATCAACACAGCTCTGGTACAAGGAAAGTGCTCATTTCGTGTTACTAGCATTGATGATGATGATTTGCTATGAACAGTTCACATGGGCAAGAGAACAGGAAATTTCACTAATTTGCTACTGTGAACCCTGGTTTGTAAAAAAAAAAAAAAAAATTAATGAAAGATGAGAAAAAGTGATAACGCAACTCCACTTTGAATATCCATCTCTTGGCCTCTCTGATTTCAACTGCTTTTTGCTTTTGAAGGGTCTGAGTGGCCTGCTGGAACTCTCTTCTCCCTTCCTCTCCACCCACCCTTCATCTCCTCTCTCATCCTTAGCCCCCCAAACCAAGAGATCTGTTTTACCTAAAATGTCATTGGATTCTGTAGCAAAATAAAAAGTTGTCAGTGGAAGGAAAAGCTGCAATTTGTGCATTTGCAAGACACTAAAGATTTCAAAGTTTTTAGCAAGTCTAGCACAAAGATGTCCAAATGTTTTCTCTGGCGATATCTTCAGAGGCTAAACTGTGATTAATAGCCCAGAAAGAATCCTTTGAAGCAGGATTGGTGACATCAAAGTCGTAATCCAGGGGTGGCAGGAGCTTTATAATGAGTGGGAAGCATTTTAACACATTTCAAAGGATTTACAGCATGAATAAACAATAGACCTCAGCAGATGTGCCACACACACCTTTCAGAAACATAACCTATAAGAAGTTTCCATTTTAATTTAAATGTAAATACAGTGTTCACACTTCTTTCAAATGTTAAGCATCCTCAGTGCTTCACCCCCCAGACAGGCTCTTTGGCTAAGGATGCCTCACTGCTCCAGAGCACCCTCCTGTGACTCACTGACATATTGGAGAGCGAAAAAACAGAAGTCGGAGGCAATGGATGGAATTTATATCCTATGTGGGAACTGGGTTAGGAAAGAATCTAAAATGGAGCTTGCAATGATCCCAGATAATTTCTCTGCTTCCAACTTAAAGGAAAAGAGACAAGTGGTCTGAAGATAGAGCTGAAACTTTTAAAAGATGGCAATTTCCTGCCTGCTTCAGAGGATTTTCAGCTCTTGGAAAGCACCCAGCACCCAGGATTTCAGTTGCCTCTTAAGAGTTGCCCAAGATGACGGGTTGCTGTTTTAAATAATCAGGCTTGAAATTTGACTTCCCTCTGCTGCCCCCTCTGGGTTTAAAGGATTGGTTGCAGGGTTCTGGTGGTGACTGCTGGTGGGCATTTGTTTAGGAAAATGTCCTGTTTTAATTTTCCATAACACAAGAAATAGGCTAATAAGCTAATAAATGACTGCAAAGAAATGCTGAAAAGTAAAAGGTTAGTGTCAAATGCTGCCCAAAAAGGAGTTGCAAAGAAAACATCAGCTTTTTTTTTTTTTTGCCAGATTAAGTTATGTGAGTAGACCTGAGAACTACTATGTTGTACCCCACAGTCAGTGTGGGTGAAAGTGAAAGTTGCTCAGTTGTGTCCAACTCTTTTCG